AGTTGTGTTTTATGTGCCTTTGTTATTTTATATCTAAGTCAATATAAGTTATTAACAAGATGTTGGCCCAGTTTGATAACATAATTAGCTTATCATTCAATTTTGGCTTGTTTGATCACTATTAGTTGTTTGACTTGGTTAAACAGTCAATATGAGTGTTTGATTAATTGATTTTAGTAACAGTTTATTGCTCCAAAATACTAAAATTCACTACTAGAAATTCTGAAATTTCTGACCACTTGAAAGTTATCTTAAATCAAGTCGAAAGCCTTGTTCCGACCACTTTTGTTATCCAGAAAAACCCTTGTTGCTATTTCCGACCACTTTTTGCTTTCAACTTGATTTAAGATCACTTTCAGGTGGTCGGAAATTCAATAATTTTCAGTAGTGATTTAAAAAGCTTCTCAAAGCAGTTTTTTCAATCAACTTTTTGAGAAAGTCATTTTGCATGTAGTCAGCCATCAACTAACAACTAATTTATCAAATATTTTTCTATAATTAGCTAATGCTATCAATAACTAGTCAAACTCACTAACCAAATCAATTAACAGCTATCGGCTAACAACTATTTATTAAACAACTCCATTATGTTTGTGTTTGGATATGATATTTTTATGTTTATATGTGGTAAGGTACATTAGATATTTTAAAATATCTTCTTAAAAAAAATTTAAAAGAACTAAATGTTCGAAATAACTTTTTAGATAATTTAATTGTTATATTTTTATGCTAACATCAGAAATATTATTTAGTTTTCCTAACAAATTGTTCCGAGCTGAAATTATATTCCAGGAGTTTAATAGGCGGAAAACTAACAAATTATCAAGAAAAACGGGAAGATTAATTATTTTCTCATTCTATACCTATCGATCTTTCACGTCCAAGAGATATGAACGCGAGAGAATATGCCAATAATTGAAATTACAAGGACGCAGTTAGTTAAATGTAAACGTTAATTAGTCAATTCTTATGGCTAGATAGGAGAATTTAGGTCGATAATATTGAAAAATATATATTAAAAATGATAAGATAAATAAATTAATTAATTAAATTGAAGTGGAAGAACAATTAAGGCACGCTAAAAAAACTATTTAATAGTTTGTCTTAATATGCTACTTCTTCCTTCATTTCCAAAGTGACAGAGACCCATGACACAATATATATAAAATAAAGAAACTACCAATTTTTCTGTTGTAAATGGTAAGATTGCGTTCATACCGTGGTTTTATACTGTTATTTATGATCATATTTTTAATAGTAAAAGTTAAATTTTTTCTTTAGACCAAGACTATGTGGTCTAATGGTACCCGGGTTGGACTTCCATTTAGAAGATTATGAGTTCAAGCCTTGGTTCTTTGTGTTTTAGTAGGTTGAGAAAGTATATTAACAGATACTACAATGAAACTAGAAAATGAGGAACAAAATTACTTTAATAGTAAAAGTTAAATTTTCTCTTAATGATGAAGTCAATTTTATAAAAATTAGTATAAAGGAAATACCTTAAATCACAATGAGGAACAAAATTAGTGCACGTTAAGCACTCTTGTAGGCGATTAGGATTGAAAATAATTTATCAGAGTTATAAATACCTAATCGATGCTGATATATATATAATGTATGTATTTTATATATAATATAATTTTGTTCGTTTTCAAAATAAAAGAAAAACTCTCCCGACAGCTAGAGCCAAAATTCTTGATTCTGGTATGATGTTTGGAGTTTCTTTTACGGACCGTAATAAGTTCAGTAGATATGCTTTTTACAATGATTATAAAATGCCAGCAACATTATATTTTTTTCCTTAAAAAAATACAAACAAATAATATTGTGCTATACGTTCATTAAGATAGAATTGTTATCTTTAATGAATAAATTAAATCAACAAATGCGATATAAAATAAAATATCATTAATTAATTGAAACATAGGTGTCAGAGTACCTATGAGATTATAGATGACAATTTCAATCTATCTCGCGGATATTCATTCGAATCCATCCTGCATGGATCGAGTTGTTTTTTAGGTGATAGTGGGTGGTGGATCAGAGGTGGGCCTTAAAACATAAACAAGCAGTGGGTCGGTTTAGATTACGGTTCTATGTACAAAACTTGCATAGAATCCCACCCGATCCACCATGTGTGTGTGTGTGTGTGTGTGTATATATATATATATATATATATATATATATATATATATATATATATATATATATATTTAGGTTGCTAATCTGGTGAGAACACTACTTTAGGTGAGGATGTGTAGTCTAATTCACACCATTCATTTTAGGAATTGCACGGTCTAAAAACTTGCACTAGAAACTGCGAAGACTAAAAACAGCCAAATAAATAATATAAACTGCCAGCAGGGTTTTTTTTTTTTTAAATTATTTTTTTTTTAAAGCAATTTTACATGTTTTTTTTTATTAAAAATAAAAGGTTAATTCATTAATCATAAACAGAAATGTTTACAATACAGATCGTTAGAATGACAGTGCATTATTTACAGTCAGACATAGAAACAAATTTCTTAGCAATGTTATAGAAAGCATGGATCGCGGGCTGTACTTTATAAATTTGAAGCCGAAGTTGTTGGATGAACTCGGTGCTTCTTCACAGATCTGGTCAATCTAACATAGCCAAGTCTGACTCTAATGTGACCATTATATCATTCCACGCTTATGAGGAGAACTCACCAAAGAAACAAGAGGAAAACTCGTCAAAGAAACGTGAGGGAAACACTCGCCAGAGAGACGAGAGAAAACAAACTAGTCAAAGGAACAAAGGGATAACGTAGAACAAAAAGAAAACAAAATAAATGGAAAAGATGATAGAAAATCTGTCAGATCTAGAGAGTCTCTGACGCCTTCTCTGAAAAAAGGTTCGGAGATAATCTGAGATCTAACGCTTATTCCTAAAACAGCTAGATGATGGAGTTTACTAATGGCACCGCGCGCCGACTCAACCCTCCATTAGAGCGTCAGCCGGCAGCGGGAGGATGGAGTCGCAGGGCTTTTACAGATGAAAAAGGGAGAGAAAGCAGTTGTTCGGAGAGAAAGCAGGGCCTTTACATGTTATTATCTTGTTTACCTACAAATTGAGCTAATTGTAAAAATTTAAAAAGTTATAGGCGTAATTGCATAATAGTAAGGGCATCCTCAATAGGGGAGATCTTGGTGTGGTTTTTTAGGAGTTTTTGTAAATGTGTTTAGGAAAGAGGAGAAGAGAGGAAAGAGAAAAAAGAAAAATTTTAAATATAAAATTCTGATTTCAAAAATAAAGAAAGTGTCGTAAATTGCGCCAGAAACGCGCCCAGCTAGCGCGTGCACTGCATGTGCTAGCTGGGCGCACCAGTGGGTCTCACGCAAAGTAAAAGCAATTGGCATTAATTGTTGGCGGGTCCCACTTTCTGCAAAGAACCTCATATTTGCACGAATAAAATTTATCCTCTCTCTCTTGTTTCTCTTTCTTCCATGTAGGCATTTGTTACTAAAAAAACATGAACAATCCCCTTATTGGGGTGGTCCTAAAGAGATAAAGGGTTTAATTAGAGTTTTTGTTAATTTATGGGACTAATTGCACTTTGCCTTATAGTTTAAGGGCTTATTTGACTCTTGTTCCTAAATTTTATGTTATCAAGGTTATGGATCATTACAATACATGAAAATACGAGAAATCATGAAATTGATAAAAATTTTAAGACAAACATTATATTCTTCCTAAAAGGTTAAATTTCCAAACCCAAGTGCTCCACATTCTGGACAAAGCATTTGGGAGCAAAAATAAGGAGTACATAATCTTACATATAATAAAGCTATATGGTTGGGAAATAATTAATGTTACAATTAATTACCAACATTATTATTATTACTAGCTATAAATATAAAATAGCCACAACATCTTTTACTATATAAAAAAAAAAAAAAAAGAAGCACAACATTTAAAAAATAAAATAGTTAATTTTTTTCTCGCTCATAACAAAGGATTACATTTATTGAATTAATGGAGTTATTAAATGTTATGATATTAGGATCAAGGATTCTGATTCCTGATTAATAGAAAATATGAAACGATGCAATATTAATTAAATCTCTGACTTTACAATGAAAGTCTATTTGATATGCTTTTGTTATTTATGGTGGTTATTGGGATTACAATATTAATTAAATTTTTGATGAAAACCTATTCGATATCTGAAACAGTGCAATTAATGCAAACCTCTACATATAATTTTTCTCCCTCTCAAATGCTTCAAAGAAATGGCAGAAGCGAGAAGGGATGAAGAAAGCAAATGTTGCGGGCCGTGGGTCAGTTATTGAACTTCAAAATAAATAAAAAAATCATTTAAGCCATAAATAAAAATTTAAATATATATAAATATATATATCGTATGGGTCTTTAATGTTTTTCTGGATGTCTAAACTTAGGACTTTTAAAAGAAAAAAAATACATTTGAATTATCTCCACAAAAAGTGGTCTTAGACTTATAAAATGACATTTGAGTTTATGGAATAACATGTGCATAAAGAATATATTATATAATCATATAAAAAAATGTGTTCAATTAGAGTTTAAATTTACTCATACAAAATTTAAAATTTGCTTTCTAAATTTAATTATCTTAGTTATTATTCGTATTGTGAAAATTATAATATAAATGAAATACAATTAAGAATAAATCAATGTAATTATGTACATAATTAGAGATTATATTAACCATACATAATTTTAATTATAATTTTGTATTCTATAAAAATAATAAATACTTGACCAATGGAAACTCAAAAATATTATTATATTAAACAATTTAAAATATTTTTTTTATTTTTTTATTTTTATTTATAATAACATAATTTTTTTCCCGTGCATCGCGCGGGTGAATTACTAGTTATATCAAAAATCAAGAAATTGGCAAAAAAAAAAAATAACTAAAATTATTCATTCAATTGAACAATTAACTTCCAAACCAAACACAGCACGCAGCAAAAATAAAAAGGATTGAAAGTGATGAATAGGATGATGGCATTTGAAGTTGAGAAATGTGTGACTAGTAAAATGGCCAAGGGGGTGCACTGGGTGGATAGTAGAGATTCTGATAATAATTAAAGTAGGGGTTATGAGGTTGTGGCGGCGGTATTACAGTCGTCACTGCCGCCGGCGCCGGCGCCGGCGCTTGTTGAACTCCGTTCTCCCCCTGGCCGCCATTGTTGGTCGTCACCTCATCATCAGCTTCTGCTGGTCCAAGATGCACTAGTTTTGAGGAACATATCGTCTTCAATTTCTTATCCACAAACACCGGATCCATGTCCCCTATCACTGTCATTTTCTTGTCCCTCCCAATCGCAATAGATTTCACCCCTGCAAAACTATACATAAATATTTATAATTATTGCTAATTTATTAATATATTCAAAGTTCAAGAATGGATCGGAGTATTGTAGTTATCTAGCTAGTTAGTTTTTAAAATGTAAAAATTGAACACCTTTTATCTTTGACACCTTTCCCATGGCCTTTTTCTTGATTTGGCCACCTTCAAATTCCAACTGCACCACAACTTTCTGTCAAAATTAATAACCAAAAACCATATAATCCCATCAAAGTCCAACTCCAAAAAGACTATGCTACTTGTTGATAATGAAATAATACTTAGAAACATATAGCCATAAATATTACTGAATATGAGTAACAAAAAAATTCGATCCATTGATTTTTCTTACATTAAGAACCTAAATTACCACATATCACCTAACTCATCTTTTGAATACTAGTATATACTTGTATATGCTATTTATCTCTAAACATATAATGTATTATATATACACGCAAAGTATACTATATATGGGGATAGGGGAAGGGGCAGTTGTACCCATTGTAGATCCGCCTCTGAATATACTATATAAACAATAAATATATAATCTAACTATCAATTTAAATTTTTAGTTGAAATATAACAAAATTGTCATGAATTATATGCATGCTACCTTTCAATGTTTAAGAAACTAAAATAATAATCAATAACCTATTTACATAACGGTTAATTAAAAAACGTTGAAACCTATTGACATAGTGACTAATGGGTAAATAAATCATAAATCATAAATCATAAATACTAATATGATTAGGATAAAAAAGAATAAAAGAACAGGAGATTAAAGGAAGAGCTGACTGGCCTTCATTGCTGGGAAGAGAAGCTGAGAGAAAAGAGATTTATGCAAGTAATGAGAGTAGAGTTGTGCAAAGGGGATAATGAGGGGGCCTTAGCTAGGTTTTAATTTTTTATATATATAGTGGGAATTGAGAAGATAGAAAGACGAGTATTCAGTATGGAGTCAACTCTAAGTCAAGCAACTAGTCAATACATAAATAGTTTGGGTCACGTTGGCAATTAAATTAAATGTCACTGTCACATGGTCACATGGATAGATGTATTGTCGTAACCATTGTACTATTGTAGATGCATGAAGCTATAATTTTATAACTCAAATAATAACAATATGGGATAACCTTAATAAAATTGGTCAGACAAATTAACTATTAACTCAAATAATAACAATATGGGATAACCTTAATAAAATTGGTCAGACAAATTTACTATTGTTCAAAATCACGTCGTTTTGTTTAATGAAAGAAACGACACCCTTTTCGCGTCGTTCCACAAAAAGTAACTTTGTTATTCAGTTTCATTTTGTTTAATTACAATGCAGTGTCAGTTCAACACAATTACAACTTCAATTCATTTCGATATAACTACAATCACTACTGGAAATTATGAAATTTCCGACCACCTGAAAGTGATCTTAAATCAAATCGAATGCAAAAAGTGGTCGGAAATAGCAAATAAAAGTTTTTCCGGATACCAAAAGTGGTTGGAACAAGACTTTCGACTTGATTTAAGATCACTTTCAGGTGGTCGGAAATTCCATAATTTCCAGCAGTGAGTTTCATTCGATAGTTATACACTCAAATATGTGAAAATTTTATTTAATTTTATTTTATATACAATATAGTTTCATTAAAACACAACTACAAGATTATTTCGATATAACTACAACTTCATTGCACAATATACACTCAAATATGTGAAATGTTATTCAGTTTCATTTTATATACACTGAAGTTTCATTTCAACACAACTACAATATCATTTTGATATAACTACAGTTTCGCTGGGTAATATGCACTCAAATATGTGAAATTGTTATTCTGTTTCATTTTGTATACACTGCAGTTCCTTTCAATACAACTACAATTTCATTTCATTTCAATTGCAGTTTCACTTGATAATATAAAAATAATACGTGAGGCAGTGTCAATTTATATACACTATAGTTTCAGTTGGTAATTAATACACAAAAATGCACGCTCCGTTAACTGTAACGACGCGCCGTTTCTTTACTTAAAGAAACGGTGCCATTTTTTGCCGCGGTGCACGTACACCGCCGGTCCACGATATAACACCTGTCAGATTATTAGCTTGGTAATCACAAAATTACAAAATTCAACTTTAGCTTGGTACGTCATTGTAAAGTGTTTAAACTAAGTCAGAACGTTTATCATGATCAAATCTACCAAAAATTAGTGGATCCATCATTTACCAAACAAGACTTTCGTAGTTTGTATCAATTAATTCATCATCAAGTTAAATAATTATTATATATCACACATGTCATATTATTAAATCTCACAATTAATATAAAAAATTAAAATTCAGAATGAGTGGTCACAAGATCAAATTAAACCCCAATGGTTGGAGCATTGATTCTTTGAATTGAAAAAAAAAAAGATTAATAAAGTATATAAAACAGATATTATATTCTTCCAAAAGGCTGAACCCCAACCCAAACAGATATTATATTGTAAAGACTCATGAGTGTTTCAAAAAAATATTTTTAAAAAATTATAATTGGAGTGTAGTCAATAAGTTTTGATCGCTAATCTCTTAAAATGGGCAAAAACTTGTGTGAGGCTGTCTCACGGATCTTAATATGTTAGACGGTCGAATCTTTGATTAATAAAGTCAAAGATCCAACTCATTAATCAAATATTTGACCCATTAACCAATGATCCGACCCGTCTCACGGATTGAGACTCGTGAGACGGTCTCACACAAGTGTTACCCCTTAAAATAATAATATTCTCTTACCAATTAAGCTATTTCAACCTTAGGTAATTTTTTTTTTTTTTTTTTACATAAGTATAATAATATATTATCTACTTCCAATTAAAACATCTACTACGGATATATATAGGGTGGGGTGGGGTGGGGTGGGGAGGGGCAAATACCCTATTCCCCTCGCCCCCCGCCCTACCCCTTTATCCGCCCATGGCAATATTGATAAACAAACTTATCAAAATTAACATCCATTAATGTTTTAATGAACCTCTTTTATATTCATTAGTATTATGATGTAGTTGCATTACTATTTTAAAGATGAATATTCAATATTATAAATATGAACTATCAATATTGTGAAAATGAACTTGTAATGTTTCATTAATGAGTCTATTTGTAATGATACATCCTAGTTTTTTCTTGAATGTTACTGACTTTATTACATTGTAGTATCTGTTCAAACATGCTTTCTCAACCTAATGAAGCACAAAGAGTCAACAACGCTTCCACTGAGGCTCGATCTCATGACCTCCCACATATAAAAGGTCACTACATGCCATCTAGCACAAGGTGCTAAGCGGATTGTTGGCCAGCTCAAGCTTGGCACTTGACACAACTTTTAGAGAAAATGGGTGATAGAGCTAGGGGCATATCCAAGGAGGGAGGGGGTCAATAACTGCCCACTCCACTATATGTGTGTGTATGTAAATTTTTCAATTTTGTATACTTATTATGAGATTTATAGTGTGTTATGTGAGGTAATAATTATTTTAAATTTTTAATTGATTAATTAATAATTTATATGAAATTTGTTTTGTAATTCAATTTAAAAAGTATTTTAAAAGAAATTTATTTTATAAATGATCTAATTAATATAGTCTAGAATTGAAGTTTCAATTATGCGTCATCGTATTTAATTTATCTAGAAATACATAGAGTTAATCTAATTAAGATAAAATGTATTTATGAATATCATATTAATAATCATAGTATACAATTTTTTTTCTAACCATTTTATAGAGTCACGTAATGGTATTCCTAAACCTATCCTGAATAGAGCCAAATGTGAAAGAGGAATTCGTAAAAAAAAAAAAAAATAAAATAAAAAAAGAGGATATTTTTATTATATATATACTTAACACTTTGTTTAATTTCTTGTATTAAAAAAATGACTAGGGAACATGAGTCAGTTAACACGATTGTCGAATTCTTTTTTCAGAAATCACATGGTGACATATTTTTATGTGAGTATTATATTTAATTATTTGCTTGGGATTTGGTATTGATGGTTATGCGAAGCCGGGCTCTTTATAAAATCGGACGGGAATATGATTAAAATGAGGGAATAAAGAGATAATATTTTATTTTGAGTATTATTAACTCTCTGTTCATAATTACTTTCTCAACTTACTAAAATACAAATACTCAAACCCACAATATTTACAATTGAGTTACGGGTCAAAGGCTAAGATTAGTTTCGCAAATTATGTCGTGGAAATGTGTTCACCATGCTTTGTGAACACGTTTCCAAAACGACGTTGTTTTTTACGGAAAAAAAAAATTAGTTAATGTATTGTTAACAGCGTTTTGCATTCTATGTTTAGATTATTAATTTACATTTATTAAATTATGAATTTTCTGTTATGAGATTATGAATTTAGAGTTATGTAATTATGAATTTTCTGTAAATTCATAATCTCATAACAGAAAATTCATAATTTCATAACAGAAAATTCATAATCTCATAAAAGAAAAACATTTATTAAATTATAAATTTTCTGTTATGAGATTATGAATTTACAGTTATGTAATTATGAATTTTCTGTAAATTCATAATCTCATAACAGAAAATTCATAGGCACTCATAAATATATGTCTGCACATTCATAATTTATGAGTGTTGAAAAAGCTTGCACGAAGAGAAAATGAAACCGTAAAATGTGAAAATAAAAAAGAAAAGTCACGTTGTTAATTAAAAAATTAAAAAAAATAACGGTGTCACTTACAGACACAGTTTCACGACATAACGGTTGAATTAGTTTCGACTACCAATTAGATACATAGTCCATGCAATAATAATTGGAGAAATCATTAATCAAGGTATGGCTGACAGTAATTGCACGACATGGGCTGCACATTTTTTTTTTTTGTTTTGCGCCACTTGCATTTTCTTTTCTGTTGCTTCTTTTTTATTTCGCAGAATACATTTTTATAACTCATAAAATATATTATTTTAATGTATAAAGTACATTGTTCTAACCCTAGAAGATTCATTTTTTAACACTATATAAAGTATATTATTTTGACTCCAAAAATACATTATTCAAACATATAAAGTATATTATTCAAATTCATAAATTATATATTATCTTATTCCAAAAGTTTCATTATTCTAACACAAAAGTACATTATTCTAACTAATAAAATACATTATCTTACTCCATAAAGTACACTATTTTAACACACAAATGACTACAGCAGACACCATTATTAACTAACGAATTATTCTTTTTAATGTTAATTACATCATTTTAGACCATGGTCCCACACAACTGTATGAACCACAATCCACACAATAATTTGTTGGATTTCCCCCTCCCCTTGAAATGTTATGCTGTGCAATCGTGTGCACCATGCAAGGTGCACATGGTTCCAATTCATAATTTCTATACTATAGATTCATAATTTTTAAACCATAGATTCATAATTTCTATACAATAGATTCATGATTTCTATATTGTAGATTCATAATATCTGTACTGTAGATTCATAATTTCTGTACTGTAGATTCATAATTTCTAAACTGTATAGTTATCAAATTATGAACATATAATTCTGTGATTTGTGAATACAGAGTTCAATAATTGAGAAATGAACATCGAAAATTATGAACATAGAGTTCTGTAATTATGAATATAGAGTTCAATAATTATGAATATGAAGTTCAAAAATTATCAATATATAACTTTATAAGTATGAACATATAGTTCAGTAATTATGAACATAGAACAGTGTGCACCATGCATGGTGCACGCAGTTGCACAACATAATTTGCGCAAATTATGCCGTGGAAACGTGTTCACCATGCTTTGTGAACACAGTCCCAAACGCCATCGTTTTTACGGGAAAAAAAAAATTAGTTAATGTGTTGTTAACGGCGTTTTGCATTCTATGTTTATATTATGAATTTACATTTATTAAATTATGAATTTTTTGTTATGAGATTATGAATTTACAGTTATGTAATTATGAATTTTCTGTACATTCATAATCTCATAATAGAAAATTCATAATCTCATAAAAGAAAATTCATAATTTCATAACTGCACATTCATAAATTCATGTCTGCACATTCATAATTTATGAGTGTTGAAAAAATTTGCGTGAAGAAGTAAAACCGCAAAATGTGAATATAAAGAAGAAAAGTCGTGCTATTAACTAAAAAAACAAAACAAAACAAAAAAAGATTGGTAAAAAATAGCAATGTCCGTAAACACTGTTACCGTTTAAAATCGTGTTCACCATGAATGGTGAACATGATTCCATAGCATAACGATTGCATAATTTGCCCCTCCCCTTGCAATAGTTATGCTGTGCAACCGAATGTACCATGCGCATGGTGCATACGATGCAAAACGACGTCGTTTTGACTAAAAATGCGCGTTCCACTTAAAAAAAAAAATTCAGGTTCGATTCTCGGCAATAGCATTATTGTGGATATATAGTTATGAATTTCTGGATATATAGTTATAAATTTGTGGATATATAGTTATGAATTTATGAATATTTAGTTCATTCATTGTAGATATTTACTCCATTCATTCACTGTGGATATATAGTTATGAATTTATGGATATATAGTTATGAATTTATGGATATATAGTTATGAATTTATGGATATTTAGTTCATTCATTGTGGATATTTAGTTCAATCATTGTGGATATTTAGTTCATTCATTGTGGATTTTTACTTCATTCATTCATTCATTCACTGTGGATATATAGTTATGAATTTGTGGATATATAGTTATGAATTTCTGAATATATAAAAATGCTATTGCCGAGAATCGAACCTGATTTCTTCTTTAAGTGGGACGCGCGTTTTTTTTTAACCAAAATGGTACCATTTTATAACCGTATGCATTTTGCAAGGTGCATTCGATTGCACAGCATAATTTGCGCTCCCCTTGCCGACAAGCCCCCATCCTTCCACTGCTGACACTTGCCTTTCCCCAAGCCCAAGCAATTTAACCTCAAGCCCTAAGCCCCGACAAATTATACCATTGATTAAGGTCCGGACCATGGGCCAAAAGTAACAATCAAAATATGTATTTACAATTGTAACATACTATATGTCTACAGTTAACAAATTATATATTGATGATTGATAAATTATATCTTTAATTTATTTATATACATAATATGGATTTTGGTCCATGATATAACAATTTTCAAGTCTCATGTTGGCAATATAATTTATATCATAAACCAGGATCCACATTATATTATGGACTATGAATTGAAACAATAAGGTACAAAATTCATACTTGTAGGCAAAAACTTGTGTGAGACTATCTCACATGTCTCAATTCGTGAGACGGGTCAGATATTTGATTAATGAGTTCAAAGATCCGACTCATTAATCAAAGATTTAATCCATTAGTAAAAAAATCTGTCCCGTCTCATGGATTGAGACCCGTGAGACGGTCTCACAAGTGTTATCTAGATACAAGATTTCATAAAACAAAACACAAAACACATACACATGCTATACTTATTTTTCAAATCTAATTTAGATACATAATTTGTATTTATAGACACAAAATCTTATAACAAAAAGTATAAATTCATAATATAAAACACAATTACTAATTTGTTTAAGCTTTTCACCATGGTAACAACAAAGAGTCCATTGTGATCTCTGATGATGGAGCCGACACCAGTAGTTCTGGAATCCTTGTCCATTGCAGCATCTACATTCATCTTTAGGTACACTCAAGATCCTCTCTCTATCCTCTTGCAGGAATATATCTTCTATGACTTCTTCATCCCATCCAGTCTCTTTTTGCCCCTTTAATTTGTTCCCAAATCTTCTCAAACCAACATATAAATGTGTGTCTGTGTTTTTTATTTTGGGCATAACCCGTAGTGCAAATGTTGTCCCTCAATTTTTCTTACGTACTGTCTGGGATAAGTAATATATGTACAATTTTAAAAATTGATGGGCAATATTTACACCACTAATAATTGATATATTATGAAGAGACATAAAATATAATTTTCTCTAGTATAAATTAAAATTTTCTTCCTCAATTTTATAATCCGAATAACTCTACAACTACCTCAAACTTGTCTCAAACCCGAATGAATGTTATTTGTACCATGGCTTTGACGAACACATTCAGAATAAAATAAAACAACATATATAGATGTGAGCTCACTTAAGACTAAACAATATAATGTATGTTGTTGTCATTATCTATCTAAAATAGTAACATTAATCTTTACAATTAAGTTGCAGAATGTTTAACATAAAAGTTAGTGCTGCCGGCCTCTTGCAATTAAAAATGCCTTCCCTCTTGCAATTATTGCACTTAGAGCCATAAGGTAAATTGCCAATTGATGATAATTACTATACACACACACATACTAAGTGAGAAGAAGCTAGCTGAGATCAGATCAGAGAAGAATTGAAGAATGAAGAAGAAGAAGAAGAAGACTTGGGAATTGCAGATCTTTTTGGGGAGAAACCACAAGGGTATTCATTCAAACTTGGTTGTATTTTGGAAGAAGCAATAAGAGACATTGATGGCATCCACAAAGAGTTGTTCAAAATGAAGATGGAGTACGAGCATGGAAGGAAAACAAGTACACTTGCAGTAGCTTCGACTAGATGTGATGGAGTTGTCATGCCCCAGGACAAAATAATGGTGGGGAAAAACAATGAGTTCCAGATTGTAAAGAAGATGTTAATTGAGCATTCATCAAGGCAACGGGAAATTGTCTCCATCAAAGATATGGGAGGTATTGGCAAAACAACGTTAGCCAGACGAGTTTATGGAGATTCATCAATTGTCTCCCACTTTGACAAGCGAGCTTGGGTTGTTGCATCACAGTATCATAATAAATTGCAAATGCTAACAGGTCTTCTTAAATCAATAGGTTGTGCAGTGGGTAGTGTCACTGAAGAGGATCATCTAGCACAAGTACTATACCAAAATCTAATGCATCAAAGATACTTTGTTGTGATAGATGACATTTGGAGCGTTGATGCATGGGATTCTGTCAAAGCTTGCTTTCCAGATAATGCAAATGGCAGTCGAGTACTGTTGACTACTCGCATTGCAGAGGTGGCTACTAATATCGGCTCTAGTAATGACTTTTCTCATCAAGCACAATTGTTAGATCAAACTGAAAGTTGGAACTTATTTTGTGAAAAGGCAAGCAAATCTAGCTATGCTGAGTTTGAGGTGATTGGGAGACCCATTGTTAAGAAATGTAAAGGATTGCCTTTGGCAATTGTTGTGGCCGCAGGTTTATTTTCCAAACTTCATTTGCTGGATGAGTGGAAGAATGTTGTAGAAACCCTAAATTCATATGCAACAACAACAATTGATGAAGAATGTTCAAGGATACTCTCATCGAGTTACAATCACTTGCCGCACAGTCTGAAGTCTTGCTTTTTATATTTGAGCATATTTCCAGAAGATAAAGAGATCCATGTGAAAGAAATTGTAAAGTTATGGGTTGCCGAAGGACTTGTAAAGGCATATGAGGATATGAGCTTTGATGCGGTGGCTAGAAGGCACATTCAAGAATTCAAGGATAGGAACCTAATTCTTGTAAAGCGACCAAGTATTTGTGGGAGAAGAGTAAAGACATTTAGAATGCACGATTTAGTGCATTCTTTTTGTGTGAGAGAAGCTAAAAGGAAAACCTTCTGCATGTTGTCTATGAGAATGAGTCCAATACCCCTCCTAAATATTTCCGATGGGTAAGCATCCAATCAAGAAGGTTTAACAGACAAACATTATATTCTTCTTTAAAAAACTGTCGATCCATCTTCGTTTTTTGCGGGTATATAGTTTTAAATTCTAGTTTTTGCTGTCTATTAAGAGTACTCTATAATAATATGGACTGTGAGATCGGATATCTTGTCCATTTGAGATACCAGTTGTCATGAGACCGAGTTTTTACCATTTTAGATCCATTTCGTAGTTGGAATCTTCAATCACTTTCAGCTGATAGTACTGCTAAAATGAGCTTTTTAGAGTTCCCACAACTACAACATTTGCGTAGTTACAGAGGTCTGAGTGATTTTTCCATATTTTTTCATCAAAACTTGAAGAGCATTTGTGGGTTGAATCCTGATCAATGCACAAAAGAATTATTTACAAATATTCCATACCTAAAGAAGGTAGAGATTCTATGTGCAGATGGTTGGAGTGATTGCATTAATAACGTTGCCTATTTACACCAGCTCCAGAGTATGCATCTTCTTGGTATATTATTTGGGCGTCCGTTGGTGATTCCAAATATTAACCACCTTGTTTGCTTGAAAAACCTTATGAGGTTGAGGTTTACGGACTTGACATTTGAGTGGAAGGCAATTAATATTTTTAGCAAGTTGCCCAAACTTGAGGTGCTAAGGCTAAGGGGTTGTAAGTGCATTGATGATGAGTGGGAACTATTGGAGAATGAGAATTTCGACCAGTTAATTTATTTGGAAATTGTTTCCATTGATCTAAAGCATTGGGAAGCAAGTGCCTGTCATTTTTCAAATCTTGAGCGCCTAGTCCTTAAACGGTGTCATCAACTGGTAAAGATCCCAGCTGACTTTGCAGAAATTCCAAACTTGAAGTCAATCAAATTGGAATACTGTTTTCCTTCTGCGGTAGATTCTGCCAAGAAAATTCAAAAAGAGCAACATGAGCAAGGAAACGAAAATATGGTTGTCATTGTATAGGCTGGTCTCCCTCCCTTACTCTTTCTTTATGCCTTATTTTTTTCAAACTTGATTTAGTTTCATCATATCCTAATAATTTATTTTCAATGATTCATGGTAGCCTCGATCTCGCAATGAAACATATTTGAGTTGATCCATATTTCAAATCTATCAATGATAAAAGGTATATATGTTTACAGTTTACCTATATGTATCCTCCTTGGCTTCTTCATTTATTTCACTACTCATATGTGAAGGTTATTTGTTTATAGTTTAATTTGGCGATTGGAGATATACTAATAAAATTATAAATTACTTTTGTCCAAAGACGTTGTAGTCCAATGGCACCAAGTTAAACTCTCACATAGGAAGTGGGTTCGGGCCTTAGTGGTGGCGTCTTCAGTACGTTGAGAAAGTGGTTATGAACCGATACTGCATAATTACTTTTGTCTCTTGGTATGCTTTACTTTCGTTTACATAGATCAGATGACTGGTAATAGATTGTCAATTGTTTAGACAATGGTCCTACCGAGTTATTTCTGATCAAACCTCACACAGGTTTGACAATGATATAGATTGACACACTATATTTTTTATATTTATTTTTTTAAAAAAAATCATAATTAAAGATTGAAATATCATTATATTTTAACCACATTTAATTTAAACTTTTCGTAAATGTGGGAATATTGAAACTTTTTCGTAAATGTGGGAATATTGAAAAGGATTTCTGTATTTGGGAGAGCCATACCATACCTATGCTTCAAAGTTTGTCCTTCTCCTTTCACATTCCCCAATCCTTTACTTAGTCAACAAAGCCCAGCTTTCTTTAGTAAACTACATTCCCCACTTCAACTCTTTTTGCCCCTTTAATTTGTTCCCATTTCCCAAATCTTCTCAAACCAAGTTAACCAACATGTAAGTTTGTGTCTGTGTTCTTTTATTTTGGGTATAACAAGTCTTGAGATCAAATTTCTTTGTACGTAAATATTTTTTCTATCTAAAATGCCAAACGATAATATATCGCCAATTCTTCCTATTAACTATTAAAATCATAATATGACCTAGTTGAGTCATATGGTTCAAGAAATCACACTTTGCGTATCAAACTAAACTTTCATCTATTAACTTATAATTTTCAGGATATGATAATGAATATTTTAATTTTTTTAATATGGGTGGAGTTAGCCAATTTATAATAATTAATTAATTAAAAAAAATAAATTTATTAGAAAGCTTTTTGTGAATTTTTTTTTTTATCCTCATAACTTTATCATAATTCTCAAATTGTTTTTTATTTCTTTTTTAATGTATGGGTCCACATATAGGTAATGAACAACACTTTTACTATGGATCATGTAGCAATATGAACCCAAATTATAATAAAATATATATATATATATATATATATAAATTTATTTCTCATTTTCTCTTTTACAAATAAAATTAATGTATGTATAACAAATATATCATCAAAAAACTTTAAATGACACCCACATTTATTTTTATTTCAAAATTTTAAATGAAACTAAAAGTCCATTAAGTTACCACTGCTAGTTTGTTAACTCATTATTATATAATTACAAGTTCATTATGTCATTACTATTAATTCATAAAGTTATTATTATAGGTTCATTAAATAAATAACACATGTTCTTTAAGTCACTAGTACATGTTCATTAAGTCACTATTATACATTCATTATTGCAATATTTACTACTAAATATTCATCACCTTACTACTATAGGTTCATCAAATCACTATTTTAAGTACATTAAGTCACTATTGTAGGTACATTAAGTCACTATTATTATTATTATTATTATTATTATTATTATTATTATTATTATTAGTTTTAATGTTATGACAAAATAGTTACTTTAGTTTGTGCCTTTGGTCATTAAACTGATAGAATTTGTTAACTCTAAACCGCGATTTAAAAAAAAAAAAAAAAAAAAACCCTTATCACTTTATTCATTCAAAGAGTATGCTATTAAATGTCAAACGATTTATGATTTTCCTATTTTATTTGGAGTTGGATGGGTAAATTCCAATAGATTGTGGATTGAATAAGTAACTTTAGGTGATAATAGAAGATTAAAGTGTGTTTGATTCATTGGTTTAAACATAAGGAATGAGAATAAAAGTCATACACATTGTTTGGTTGAAATTTTTTTAAAATACTGCAGAAGTATAGGATTTGATTATCCCTATAATTACAAAAAATATTACCTAATTTAATTTAAATCAAGTATCATTCCATTAATTCAGCATTATCCATCCTCACATTGCAATTACCAAGTATATTTGATTCCCATTCTAATTTCTATTCCTATGTTCGAACCAAACACACCTTAACGGGGCGTTTGGTTGGAGGAAAGGAATTAGGTGGGAAAAGAATTGTAATTTCATGGGAAAAGAATTATATGAGAATAAAGTAAGAGTTTAAATTCTAGTGTTTGGTTTCCATGAATAAAATTACTAGAAATTTCAATTTCAATATTTGGTATACATGGGAATTGAGAGGGAATAAGTATTATAAAGTCCAAAATTCTCATTATTGTTGTTGTTGTTAATCTTAAATGACAAGTATTTCTTGAACCCATTTGCATATTCAATCACAAAAAAAATATAACATATTAAATTCAAATACTGAAATACCACTCATCATCTACCATATCTCTTGAACTAGATATATTATAATAATTTTCATGCAAATACTTCATCAAATGTTAAGTTTCATAAGTTCACATCAAAAAAAAAAATCATAAAAATAAAAGTACACAACCTAATTATACATAATAAAATGTTAAGCTTACGTTTTAAAAACTTACATCCAAAAAAAATATAATAGAAAGGGTTCATCTAGAAGGAAGGCCAGACATCAATTTTAGGTTAAAAAAGAAAGAGATATTTTTGTCTCAAGATTATCTTTTTCTCTTTCCAAAATTTATAGAATTTAAATCCCGGCAGGACATGAGATTCTAATTCTATGAAAATAAAAGAATTGCAATTTCATCCAACTAAACTAAGAAATTTAAATACCTCCGGAATTAAGTGAGAATGCAATTCTAATTCCCTTCGACCAAACTCCCTGTAAATGTGTGCCAGCCAAACAAATAATGACAAAAATAATTAACTAATGTAGCTACGTCAGTAATAATCACCAAATTCAATCTATCTGATTACAAACTAAGTGAACTTCAATAATATTATACGGTAATTGTTTTATTATTATTTTTTTGTTTTATTATTAATATTGATATTGATATAATTATAGTTAAAAAATAATTATATAAGTGTTTTTTATTTTGAAAACTATTTTTTTTTATATCAGTAAGAAGGGGAATACCCAGAGGAAAACATAGTTTTACACAAGAATGTTCACATTGCGCCAAGAGGGGAGACCAAGACCAAGCATGTCATCTTCCAAGCTTCCTCTGATTTCATCTAGAGGGTCATTTAACGATAAGAGACTATAGTCATGGTTGATGGCCAACTTAGCTAGAGCGTCCGCAACACAATTTTGTTCTCTGAAGATATGATTGATCTGCCAGTACTCGAAATGGTGAAGCTCCTGTCTACATGCTATAAGGATGTTGTGTGCGGCAGTGCTAGAGGCACTAGAGGCGCAAAGAAAGTCCACAACTTCATTCTAATCGCTCTCTATGTGAATCCTTTTGATGCCTATAGAAAGAGCGATTTGAATTCCTTTTAGGATTGCTCAAGCCTCGGCTTCAAAGGGTGTGCAAGTTCCTAGCTTAACTAGGAATCCTGTTCTCCATGAACCTGTTGAGTCTCTAAACACCCCGCCACAGCCTGCAGCATGCGAGTCCGCGGCAACTGCTCCGTCGATATTGAGCTTGAGGATACCATCCGGGGGTTTGGTCCAGCAAAGCATCTTCCATGCCAGGTCATTGGTGGGCTGATGAGTGCCTTTCGATCTTGTAAAGGAACGGTTGATCTCGTTGGCTTGAGATGTGATCAAAGCAATTTTGGATTTCAGAGGTGTAAACGAGCTCTTGAATACGGCCTCGTTGCGCCACTTCCATAACCACCATAGGATCACTGAAAAGGTAGAATTATCATTGCAGGGTTTTCTTCTATTACCTTTAGCCTTTAGTCCTTCATCAAGCCAATCGACCAAAGGGAGGTGTCGTAATTGTTCATGGAGTTGTGGTAGGATGGCTTTCCAAACCTCCTCTGCGAGTGGGCAGAATCTTAGAATATGGTCTGTGTCCTCTGTTGTCGTTGTGCAGTGCAAGCAATTCTCATCATCTGTGAAACCACGTCTTCTGCGATTCTGGTTCGTCATAATTCTATCATGTCTAACAAGCCATAGAAAGGTACATATGCGATTCGGCACTTTGAGTTTCCAAATATTGTTCCACTTTGCCGCTTCTGTTGTCTCCGGTGTGCCCAATTTGAAAACTATTGATTCTATTACATTGTAATATCTGTTCATTTATACTTTCTCAACCTGTTAAAACATAAAGATTTAACGCTACCTCTCATATGAGAAAATCATTACATGTCATCTGAACACGAGGTGTTTGACAATTATATAAGTGTTTAATTGCCTGATAAGCAGTTTTCCAAACACCCCAAATCAAATCAAACACTTAAAAGTAGCTTAGTAAATCATCAAACCAGCCAAAATTTATTAAACTAATCAAATTTCAACTCATCAACCATTTACCAAACATAAGCTCTTTTTAATTTTGCTCTACGGATCTTGCGGTGTATCTATTTGGGATTTTGGGGTTTGGAAACTCCTACTTTTTGTCGCAAAGTTAAAAGAAAAAGAAAAAAAAAATGCCATCTTCTGCTCAGTCTTCATGGACCCATTTTTAATTTTAATTTTTGGCTTTTTCTTTACTGTTCTGTGTGTGACTGTGAGAGGAGGTTCCCTCCATTGCAAACCAATCTTTCAATCTAGCTTTCGTTGGTCCTCTCTGCCACATTCTTTACACAACCCCACCAAATCATTTCACCCACTATCTGCTTTTCTCAAATCTGAACTCACCCCCACCCCCACCCCTCTTCCCGCTATACATGTTGGTGTATATGTATGTATGTAGTATGTATCTTTCTCTATCTAGTATCTACCCAACAAGATTAGACTTTTGTCTGGCCTTGTAACCTTGTTTGAGGAAATGTGTTGTTTTTCCTCGATTTTCTCTCACCCAGACTAGCCCCCACTTCTTTCTTCTGCTTCTAAACTACTCCGTGAAATAGTACACTTGCTCTTGGGCTTTTGGTGGCCTCTTTCTGTATTCTATTCCAACTCTGCATTGCCATTGCCATATCTATCTCTATCTATGCTCATTGCCCTCTTTGGGTTCTCAAGGAAGAAGAAAGGGAGGGGGGGGGGGGGGGGGGGTAGGTTTCTTCCTTCTTTCTTGAATTCCAGATCAGTATAGAGGTACTATTTCTTGATTTTCTTCCCTTTCTCCTTTGAATTACATCAATTCTGATCCGAATCTCTGTCTTTTGTTTGCTTTGATGATAAGTCATGCCTTTGCCTTTTCTCTTTTAGTTTTGTTACTCATTTTAGAGGTTTAGATTCCAGGTAAATGTGGTTCGGTCATTTAATTTAGTTAATAATGTGTTTTGAAACATTTGGAGTAAAAATTATTGATTCATTAGCTGTTTCAAGAGGAGGAGGTTTTGCATTCTATAACATTGTGCTCAAGAATCACTGTAAATGCATATGCACTTCCCTTTACTTTGATTTTGATTTACTTCCCTACTTAATTAGAGAAGAATGCTTATATTTGTGTTCTTGAAATCACATTTATAGATTGAAGAAAATTGCACTGATGTATTTGCAGTTTGCTTATTTTGTAATTTGTTTGCATTTTTCTTGGCAATCAGGAGGGCAATTGACTAAACCTGAGATCTGAATTTTCTTTCTCCTATACAATTTGCTAGAAATGTCAACTGGGAGCTTAAATGCTGAATTGTCGGAGAAAACATCATTGTTTGGGATGAAACTATGGGTTGTGATTGGTATCTGTTTTGGTGTGTTCATTGTTGGGATTCTGTGTCTTTTGTCTGTATGGGTCACATTTCGGAGAAAATCTAGGAAAACAGCTGAAAAGAATTCACCTTGTGAAATACCCAATGTTTCCAAGGATATCAAGGTTGACATAATTAGTGCTCCGAGTGATAACGATCGTCCTGAAACTTTGTTTCTAACCATTCGTGATAAATCGAGCGAGAGGAATTCGGAGAAAATGGTAGTTCATTTAGGCAAGAGTAAATCGAGCGATGCTGATATGATTAGTCAATGCAGCTCGCTTTACAATAATGAAATTGGATGTAGTTCAGTGTCGGGGGAGGATGGTGGTTCGGGAACTGTCCCGAAACAATCTACACATGGACTTTCTATGGCGTCCCCTTTGATTGGTTTGCCGGAGCTCTCACACCTTGGTTGGGGTCACTGGTTCACGCTTAGAGATCTCGAGCTTGCAACAAATAGTTTCTCGTCGGAGAATGTGGTTGGAGAAGGTGGCTATGGAGTTGTTTACAAAGCTACATTGAGCAATGGGACTGAGGTAGCAGTAAAGAAGCTCCTAAATAATCTGTGAGAATCTTTATATCCTTTTTTTAAAAAACTTTGGCTCTCGAATTTTCTTTAGCTTATGATCGAACGATGATTTTCTTCACAGTGGCCAAGCAGAGAAAGAATTCAGATCCGAAGTGGAGGCAATTGGCCATGTTCGCCACAAGAATCTTGTGCGCCTTCTTGGCTTTTGCATAGAAGGCGTTCACAGGTATGCATTCACTAGTAAGTGGTTTTCTATATTTATCACGAGTTTTCCAAGCAATTCCTTTGCCAATTATTATGATTTCGATTTACATTTTTCTAAATGTTATTCTCTTTTGCTCATCAAGGATGCTGGTGTACGAATATGTTAATAATGGCAATTTGGAGCAGTGGCTTCATGGCGCTATGAGACAGCATGGCGCACTTACTTGGGAAGCCCGTATGAAGGTTCTTCTTGGTACTGCAAAGGCGTAAGTTCCAATCCATTAAACAAATTTGTTTGCTGGCTCTATAATATTTTCTATAACTTGTTTAAGATGCACTCGATAATCTATTTCTGTATGATTATTGTGTGTTTTGTCCTATCTGCAGGCTTGCGTACCTACATGAGGCTATAGAACCGAAAGTTGTACACCGAGACATAAAATCCAGTAATATCCTGATCGATGATCAATTTAATGCCGAAGTTTCTGACTTTGGACTGGCGAAACTCTTGGACTCGGAAGAAAGTCACATAACAACGAGAGTAATGGGCACCTTTGGGTATGTGATTTCCAATGTCGAGCTTGTAAAAAGAACCTGTTTTTAGTGTTGAATACTTAAAGATTGTTTTTTTATATGTTTGCAGTTATGTGGCTCCAGAATATGCGAATACTGGGTTGTTGAATGAAAAGAGCGATGTTTACAGTTTCGGTGTCTTGCTGCTTGAAACAGTCACGGGAAGAGACCCCGTTGATTATCACCGTCCTGTTAGTGAGGTATTCGACCTTTTCTGATTAGAAGTTTAAAATTAAAATGAACTTTACCTGTCCTGGTGGCATTTATGGTATAACTATTAATGTGCAATCCAACTATCAGCTTAGACTTTTAGTTGAGATGGAGCACATGCTTCAATTTGGTATCAGAGCCAGACCAAAGGTCATGGTATTAAGTAATAATGTGCAATCCAACTATCAGCTTAGGCTTTTAGTTGAGATGGAGCTTCAATTGCACAAGGTATTGATATGTGTCTGTGGCAGGTCAATCTTGTTGAGTGGCTCAAAACGATGGTTGTGAATCGGAGAGCCGAGGAAGCTGTGGATGCTGGCCTTGAAGTCAAGCCCAGTACTCGTGTTTTGAAACGGGTACTTCTGGTGGCACTTAGATGTGTCGATACTGACTCAAAACGGCGGCCTAAAATGAGTCATGTTGTTCAAATGCTGGATAGCGACGAATTCCTTCATCGCGAGGTGCATGCCCGTTTCTAACATCATAATATTAAGAGCTTTTAGTTTCCTTATTTTGTGTTTTTTGCTTAATTTCTTACTGTGTTTTGGCTCATCCTAACATCATTTTTTTTTTGTTTCTTTAATTTCAGGAACGCAGAAAAAGTAGAACAACAAGCATGGAAATTGAACCCGTGAAGGAGAGTTGCAGTTCAGTTGATGCAGAAAGCAGGGTAAAGCAATCAACAGATACATCTGAGACAATTCATAATAGGAACTGACAAACACATGACTCGAGTCTCCGGTGGATAAAATTCAGATCTTCAAGTTTTGCTTCCCGGAACAAACGATTCCTGCCTGGCATAGAGTAACTGAATCGATGATAGCCCACTTTAAATTCCCATCTAGCCGGGGAGGGAGAGATTGATGGTCCACAAATATGCTCCGAGGACCTCGTGCTATCACTCGAACTAAGAATGGTCATCATCGATCCTCTGTCGGTTTTCTAAATTTTCACTGAATCACCAGGCCAATTAGTTCTGTCTCAAACTGGTTTCACTACCTTCTCTATAAAGACTGCAGATCCATTAGCATTTTGTTGGAACAGTTATGAAAGAATGAAATATGATTCATTTCCTGTGAATTATATATGACATATCATTATCTTTACTTAGCCATGTCTATACAATTGAAGTATGTGCTCCATCTCAAGTAAAAGCCTAAGTTGATAGTTGGATTGCACATTAATGGTTATATGCTCAACATATACCCTTTTCTGCTCCCTTTCTTGGGATGAGTAGTGAGCTTATAATTGCACTCAAGGTGAGACATAAACAAAGAAACATCCCTTTTCCTTTTCCTTTTCCTTTTTCTGTTCTTGGGTTTTGGGTGTGGAGGGGACCTGAAATGATGATTGAGATGTTTCTGTTGAAGACCTTTTCTTATAGGCTGGACCTGGACTAGTATTGTATCTAACATGAACAATTATATTTGAATGTCTAAATATAATTTATATAAAAAACTAAATAAACTTGTCATGCCTGCAAAGATCTTAGACTTGTGAGAAGCTTGAATTGAGTTCACGTGTCGAGTATAATTTAATCGATATTGAACCGAGTAAACATCTGACCTTTATTTTGACGATGAAATCCACCATGCATATCACTAGAGTTGTAAATTAGAGATTCAACCTTTTGAAAGAAGAATTGTGAGTTGGATCTGCCTGACTCCTCTGATGCCACCTAGGATGAGTGTCAACAATTTTGACATCTCTGTTCTTAGATGGCATACAGGGAGCCAGGCAGAACATTTTCTCAAACTCACTGCTCCCCCCATTTCTTCATCTCAAACCCATATCCATATAACTGCAACCAAGACAATGCAATTACTAATTGATCTTTCAAAACACACACAAAAAAGAAAAGAAAAAAATACAGGCTAATAAGGGCACCTGGGTCATAAAAGACTCTTTTCAAGTATAGTTGAGTCTAGCTAATAGGAGTTTAATTTAGTATATAATGGTGCATTGAAGTGTGATTGAGAGATATGAGTGGGAAAAGCAGAGGAGAAATTTATAGGAGGGGAGAAGAAGGAAGACAAGAGAAAATCCAAGTGGGAATTGAGTGAGCAGGCCGGCGGCAAAAAAGGGTTCTCCCATGGTGATGAAACCAAACACAGTCCTGTGTTGTTTTCTGGGAATTCATCACCACCTTTGGCTTTCTCTTTCATTCAAATGCCAATCCATTTTCGCCATCATACCTCTCAATTATTTGGGTTATTTTGCATCTTCATCATAGTTTGATTTGTTGGAAAAATTAACATAAAATGACTTTTTTTTTTTGAAAATAAAAGGCTAATTCATTAATCATAAGCAGAAATGTTTACAATACAGATCGTTAGAATGACAATGCATTCTTTACAGTCAGACATAGAAATAAATTTCCTAGCAATGTTATAGAAAACATGGATCGCAGACTGTTTTACAAACTTGAAGCCGAAGTTGTTGGATGAACTCGTTGCTTCTTCACAAATCTAGTCAAACATAGTCAAACCTGACTCTGGTAAGACCATTTTATCATTCCACGCTTATGAGAAGAACTCGCTAAAGAAACGAGAGGAAAACTCGCCAAAGAAACGAGAGGGAAACACTCACTAGAGAGACGAGAGAAAACAAACTAGTCGAAGGAACAAAGGGATAACGTAGAACCAAAAGAAAACAACATAAACGGAAAAGAGGGTAGAAAACCTGTCAGATCTGTAGAGTCTCTGAAGCCTTCTATGGGAAACAATCGGAGATGATCTGAGATCTAACACTTAATCCTAAACAACCGAAGGATAAAATCTACTAATGGCACCGCAGGCTCAACCCTCCATCAGAGCGTCAGCCGGCAGCACCAAGTCGTCTTTACTTCGTGGGAGCAGCTGAAAATGGAAGAGAAAGCGGTTGAGTTTTTGGGAGAGAAAGCGGTTGAGTTTTCTGTATACATAAAATGACATTTTAAACAGTGGTATAATAGGTCTTCTATGAGACTATCTCATATGAGATGTACAATGACAATAAAATTAACACAAAATGACAATTTAGTCTCTCTACTTTTAAAAGTGGTGAAACTAAGGACAATAGTTAACGGTGTTAATATTACTATCAACTTAGCTTATGTGACACGGTGACATTATTATTGCTCAATCATAATATTTATATTCCAACTCATATATTATTTTATAAATATTTAATATTAATTAATTTTACAACTAATATATTACATTAATATGTTCAAAAAAATAATTACAAGCATGCTGACATCAAGTGTCAAAATCTCATTAGGAACATGGTTGTAATTATTTTTTTTTGGACATACTAATTTAATATACTTGTGGTAAAAATAATTAATTTTAAATATCTATAAAGTAATATATTAGTTGGAATATAAATATCATGATGTGACAATGATGATGTTAGTGTCACGTAACCTAAATTAACGGTAATATTAACACAGTTAACTATTGTCCTTAATTGCACCACTTTTTAAAGTATAGGGACTAAATTGAACAAAATTAAATAAAAGTATAAGAACCAAATTGAACAAAACACAATAGTAAAAAGACCACGTAAGTACTTTGACTGACAAAAAAATCAATATACTCAGAGGATTAGAACAATTATCTCATTCAGTTTCAACAGAAAGAGAATACATAAGTGTATATCTAATCCTACCACTAATCTCTCTTGACAAGTAGACTAGCTGTACAAGACTAATTCTAGGACCACACAAATATAAACTATATTACATAATGAAATAATAATAATAATAATAATAGTAACACTAACACACCCCCTCAAGCACAAGGTTCGTGGTTGACAACATTGAGCTTGTCCCGCAGAGCCGTAAACCGAGGTCCTGGTAAAGGCTTGGTAAGAACGTCAGCTAGTTGATCTTTGGTGGAGATGAAGTTCACGACGAAGTCACCCGAGGCTACCTTGTCACGCACAAAGTGATAATCTATCTCGACATGCTTCGTCCGGGCATGGAAAACAGGATTCGCACACAGATAAGTTGCACCTAAATTGTCACACCATAAGCTAGCGGGATGTCCAGTGTGTAGCCCAAGTTCACGGAGCAGAGAAACAATCCAGGTGACTTCGGCCGCGACATCGGCTAGTGCTTTGTATTCTGCCTCAGTGGAGGAACGAGCTACGGTGCGCTGTTTCCGAGATAACCAGGAAACCAGATTACTTCCCAAAAAAACAGCATAGCCACTGGTGCTTTTCCTGTCTACCGGGCATCCAGCCCAGTCAGAGTCAGAGTAGGCGTGGATGGCACTTGAGTCGGAGGGAGTTAGCCGCAGACCGTAACCCAGAGTGCCCTTGATATATCGTAACACACGCTTCACCATTGCCCAATGATCTTCAGTCGGAGAGTGCATAAACTGACACAGGCGATTAACTGCATAGGCTAGATCTGGCCGAGTGATAGTCAGATATTGAAGTGCCCCGACGATAAGTCGATACTGCGTAGGGTTCTCAAAATGCTGCTCAGACGAAGTCACAGCCTGAGTAACCGAAGTCGGTGTAGTGAGCGGCTTGCAGTCCGACATTCCAGAACGACCCAAGATATCGATCATGTACCGCCGCTGAGAGAGAATCATACTGTTACCTGCTGCAATCGTCTCTATGCCCAAAAAGAACCCTGGGGTGCCGAGGTCTCGAACTTTGAACGCGGTGGCTAAACGGCGTAACAGAGACTCGACCATATCTGCATCACTGCCCATCATGATGATGTCGTCCACATAGATGAGGAGAAAAACTTTAGATGCACCCGTCGAGTGGTAAAATAATGACACATCAGTCTTGGATGAGGAAAACCCTGCAGACAACAAATAGTCATGTAGTCTTTTGAACCACGCACGCGGGGCTTGTTTAAGCCCATAGAGCGAGCGCTGTAGATGACAGACATGATCAGGATGAACATGGTCTTCATACCCTGGTGGCTGCTTCATGTACACCGTCTCAGCTAAATGGCCATTAAGAAAAGCATTGTGGACATCTAACTGACGTAGAGTCCACTTGTGCGAGATAGCCAAAGAGAATAATATGCGGACAGTAGTGGGTTTGACAACTGGACTGAAGGTGTCGAAGAAGTCCTCCCCTGCGACTTGATTGAAGCCTTTGGCTACTAGACGAGCCTTATAGCGTTCAACCGATAGAATAATATGCGGATAGTAGTGGGTTTGACAACTGGATTGAAGGTGTCGAAGAAGTCCTCCCCTGCGACTTGATTGAAGCCTTTGGCTACTAGACGAGCCTTATAGCGTTCAACCGATCCATCCGCGGTGCGTTTAGTACGGAAAACCCATTTACAACCAATAATGTTCATGGTAGGGTCCGGTGGTACTAATCGCCAAGTGTTGTTATGCAGGAGGGCATTGAATTCTTGATCCATTGCATCACGCCACTGTGGATGTCCCACAGCCTGGGAGTAGCACGTTGGATCAGTTGTCGCCGTTAGGGCATGAAACTCTTCATTAGTACCCCGGGTCATATGCCTTAGGCGCATAGCCGAAGGTGGGACCGTGGCTCGCTTCCTGGTCCGCCTATGAGCATTTGACTCAATGGCCAATAAGGGTGCCTCTTGAGCCAATGGAACAGGCTCAGGGTCCGGAGTTGGACCCGGTGTTGGTACAATTTGTTGAGATTGCACAGGTGATATGGGTGCTGAAGCCCAAGGTGGAGCTGCAGGTGTAGAGTCCTGCTGTATTGAACCTGTTGCAAAGGGAAAAACATTCTCGTCAAACTGCACATGGCGGCAGATATAGGTTTTCCCACTGACTGGATCCATGCATCTATATCCCCTATAGGACGGTGGGTAACCTAAGAAGACACATGGGGTGGAACGGTACTCTATCTTGTGGCGATTATAAGGCCGCAGATGAGGGTAACATTGACACCCGAAGACACGAAGGAATTCATAGGGTGGAGATTTTTGGTAGAGACGATAATATGGATTTTGAAACTTTAAGACCGAGGTGGGAAGATAGTTGATTAGGCAGGTGGCAGTTTCAAATGCATAGTCCCAATATTGTTGCGGGACGCAGCTTTGAGCAAGAAGCGCTAAGCCCGTTTCGACAATGTGTCGATTACGGCGCTCAACTTTTCCATTTTGTTCATGTGTATAAGCACATGACTGCCGGTGTTCAATACCCAAGTTTTGAAAAGTGGTATGTAACTTGCGGTATTCACCCCCTAAATCTGACTGAATTGATTTGATAGAGCGCGAAAACTGTCGCTCTACCAACAAACGAAACGCATCAAAAATTTTATAGATATCTGATTTTACCCGTAATGGATAAAACCAAGTGAAACGTGTGAAGTCATCAACAAATAAAACGAAATAACGACATCCACTACTTGACACTATAGGAGCAGGGCCCCAGATATCTGTAAACAAAAGGTCTAATACATGATGACTAGAATCTTGAACTGTATCTAGTTTGAAACGGGAGGACTTGCCGAGATGACAAGCTACACACGACCCCAACTCTTGAGATTTATTTTCCTGAACGAAGCAGTTCTGAAGGACTTTATTTTGGACCACAGTATGCGGGTGACCGAGCCGGCGATGCCACACAGCCGGCGTAGCACGGGAACTCACAAACGCGAAGTGGGAACGTGACACGGGTAATTTGTACAAACCGCCCGAGGTTGGACCTTTAAGGAGCGTGACCTTGGTTTTGGAATCCTTCACAAAAAAAGAATTATCATGAAATTCAAAATAAACATGATTATCTCTAGCAAATTTTTGCACAAAAAGTAAAGGTACGGTTAATTTGGGAACGTGTAACACATTTGACATGACCAACTGTTTTGACACGGATGGAATAGATGCATGACCAATCCGCGAGATAGCCAAACCTGTACCGTTTCCTACGCGTAGCGTGTCCTGGCCAACATACTCCTCCGAATTGTTTAACATAGCAGCATCAGGAGTGGCATGTGCAGATGCCCCGGTGTCGGGATACCAAGAATCCGCCGGAGATACCTGTGCCGCAGCGGGATCAGTGGAAACGGCCACATTGGCCTGCGCCGGCGGTGGTGGTGTGGTGTACCTCTTGAAGCAGTAGATTGTCGTATGCCCGTGGGAGCGGCATATTTGACACCGTGGACCACCTCTACCGCTTCGACCGCCCCGGCCGTGGTAATTGTTCCGGCCACCCCTGCTGCCTCGGCGACCCCCATCACCGTGCGACGGACTGCCTCCACGCCCACGGCCAGCGAACAGCGCCGTGTGAGAGCCGGCAGCGACACCATCTGCCATTGATGATCCGTAATCATCAGCAAGGAAGAAATCCGCAGCCTGGAGATGGTCCGCCATTTGCGGTAGGGTGAGAGGAGTGGTGGCGGTGAGCGATGCAGCGTAGGTGCGGTATTCAGGACGGAGCCTGCGCAGAACATACAGGTTTTGCTCTTCCAACGAGAGAGGCTGGCCGGCCTGGGCAAGTGCTTCGACAAGAAGCTCTGCTCGTCCGAGGAATTCCACCGGAGACGCGTTGACTTGTCTCATCGTCTGAAATTGGTTCAACAAGTTGAGGCATCGGGCCTGAGTGTTTGAGCCGAGAGTGGTGCAAATGGAACGCCAAACGTCCGCAGCAGTGTTCCGTCCAACGGCGAGGTGGAGTACCTCATCAGACATCGTCGATTTGAGGAGAGAAAGGATCGCCTGGTCCTGCTGCACCCACACTTTGTACGCCGGGTTGGGAACCGGATCAACCGAGGTGGCGTCGGAGCCTGACTCGCCGGCGGGTGTGGCGGCGATCGTCGGAGATGGGCAAGGAGTGGAGCCGTCCACGAACCCAATAAGGTCCTGCCCACGGAGAAACGGCAGTAGCTGAGTTTTCCAAAAGAGAAAATTTCGGCTTGTTAACTTCATAGAAATAAAATGGTGCGCGCCTTGGAGGGGATTGTTACCGGCCGGGGTTGGTGCACCGCCGGCGGAGGAGGGCTGATCGGAGGACCGGGATGACATGGCGGCTTTGGGTGGTGGGAATCGGAGAAGAAAGGTGGTGGTTTGGCAAGCGAGAAGCGATCAGAAGGATCGGTTAGGCTGATACCAGATTAGAACAATTATCTCATTCAGTTTCAACAGAAAGAGAATACAGAAGTGTATATCTAATCCTACCACTAATCTCTCCTGACAAGTAGACTAGCTGTACAAGACTAATTCTAGGACCACACAAATATAAACTATATTACATAATGAAATAATAATAATAATAGTAACACTAACACATAGGACCTCATATGACATTAACTCTTTGTAGTTACATTTTCTTATTTAATTACATATATTAAAATCAAATGCATTTTACTGTTTATTTCCTATCGACCAAATCAATTCCATCGATTGAATTGTATTATAAATTTAATTTGTATGCATTGAATTTTATGACTCAATAAAAATTGTGCAATTATTTAAAATTATTTTGAAACAATTTTAGTTATGTCAAAATTATAAATAAATAAAACAAGAAGGCAACCCATAAGATTGCAAGGAGGAGAAACATTTAGTTTAAGCAATACGAGTAGGTGTCATGTATTTTATTGATAAAACAAGTCATATTAATTACATAAAAAATAAAAATTATGAGAAATATAATTAATTAAAAATTTACTATATTGAAATCGTTAAAATTACATATATTAAATCCAAATGCATTTAATTATTTATTTCTGCTTTCAAAAAAAAAAATTATTTATTTCCTATTCACCAAACCAATTCCATTGATGGAATTGTATGATAAATTTATTAATTTGTCTACATTGAATTTTATGAATCAATAAAAATGGTGCAATTATTTAAAATTACTTTGAAACAATTTTAGTTATGCCTGAGTTATAAATAAACCAATAAGGCAACCCATAAGATTGCAGGTTTCGTTGTGTATAAACTATAAATAAACAAAGGCAACCCATAAGCTAGACTGTAAGTGTAAAAAAATACAGGTTTGAGAACACAGCGACTCCACTAGGGATTGAACCCAGAATCTCTGGTTTCGTAGACCAGCGCCTTATCCATTGGGCCATGGAGTCTTGATGTTAATTTGAAGCCCTTTATTCTCTAATTCTTAATCCTAATGCACGAAAGATGTTTCAACTAACGTAGGATTTTTATTTATGCATAGAGTTAATTCCATTTTTGGTCCTTGATTTATAGATGGTAATTCACTTTTAGTCATGTTTTAAAAAATATTTCTCTTTTTAGTCTTTTCTCAAAAGGTTGAATCCCCAACCCAAGGGTTCCCTACGCTCCATATTTCTTTTTAGTCTTAATATTATTATGGTAATGTGGCATGACTATTTTTTATGATCTGTCAACAAAATCGTTAAAATTTAATAAAATAAATGGTATTTAGATCTTCAATTATGAAGTTTTTTTTTAAGAAAATCAAAATAAAATATAGCAGGCCAACCCACTTTGTATATATAAAAAAAAATCGAAATATCATTGTATTTAACGACATTTTAACGATTTTGTTGGCGGATGACAAAAAATGGTCATGTCACAATAATACTAGGACCAAAGGAAAATATTATGAAAAAATACACAAAGTGGACGGACACCTATAAATCTATGACCAAAATGAAATTAAAATAAAACACTTAGAAACATAGACACATAGTCATAAGCCCATAAATATTGTTGTATGAAACATAATTAATTTGATAAAATGATTCAAATAGAGAACACATTATAAATCATACATCTTACTATTAATATAAATAAATAGATAAATAAAAGCAATGAGATTCAACCCCATGACCTTTCTTATGTTAAAGGCATAACTTACCATCTTACCTAGCTTATCTTTTACTCTGTAATTGTTTTTTATATTTGTATATTTTATTTATATATAAACATATACTATATATATACAAGGACAAAGATACTATATATGAGGATGGGAGAGGGAGGATTTGCCCGCACTACCTCATTGTAGCTCCG